TATTACATAAAACTAAACCAACTGATCGAAACTTCGATTTTTTATGTATTTTTACTGTAAATACATGGCACGTGTTCATCCAGTCACTTCTTCCTGCCATTAACATTATTCCTTCACGTTTCTTTCTGTCATTAATTCCTTATAAATATATTTATTTTTTGCCCGGAATTTCTAAGTTGACATGTGTAACTCAAAAGAAGCAAGCTTCTTGCATTCGGCGTTCTTAATATTAAATATTAACTAGCTTCGTTTCTCACGTCTTCTTAGTAAGCAATTTAAGTATAGCGATAACTGTTTATTCAGCAAAATGTTCTGAGTGACATGATATAACTATAAATATACAATACATGAAATTTTATTAAATGGTATTTTTAATTTAAGGAATGACAAGAAGATTGCAAATAGCATTTTAATAAACCAAGCCATCCTATTACTCCTACTGTAAGTTTCTTTCATAGTACCTAGTTTCATTTACAGTTTACGGAACAACCAGTTTATCATAATATAAGTTCATAACCAATGTTTTAAGTGGAAAACAATATCATAATGCTCATTTTAATAATCTATGTGCTCATAGTTTTAGAGAGAAACATTTGTTGCAATCATTTATTCTAATATATTTTACTGTGCAGCTTTCAGTTATTTAGTTTTTCAGTTAGTCACGCACACTAATTTAGTTGGCGACAAGATCTTCCATGGCGACAGGTATCTTTTTTAAGAAGCAACCCCAATATGGAAAGGCCAACCTAGGTGGGTTTTATGAAACACTGTATTCTCTGCTTGGTAAAAGAAGCGGTTGCTATAAAAAGTTCTTTCCAAAGAGCTTCAGCCTCAGGCTAAGGTGGGTCTTAGGAACTCAGCAGTTGAGTGACCTGAAGACATTGGACGCATAATCAAGAATGTCTTCCTTTCAGAAACCTTTTCCTTGTTTTTTACTTTTAAATATCATATGTTCATACACATATAATATTCCCTTCAGAAACCTCAGAGATGGGCAGCACAGTAATGATAGAGTAAAATAACAAGCCAAGCGAGATGATGCGAAAATTGAGACGAGTCCGGCTTTCCCGGACTATTTGTAAATGACACCTGACGTTTTGCTACTGACGAAGATCTAAAAACTCCGTATATGGTTGTTGTTACCAAAGTACTGCAATTTTTGATTGCGGTATGTTCTCAGGAGGGTCACGTAATAGACTGCATAATTACGTAAGATAATGCTTCTTCCTGTATGTTAATCCCAACACCGCGGGATCCTTCTTGTTCGATTTGCATGGAAATCGAACGCTTTAATCAAAGAACCTGTATGAATGAATGGCACAAAATGAAATCCTATTTGACATTTTTGCAAGGGGAAGCATCTTAGAGGTGCCACTTTAAGTGTCGCAAGAGAAGCAACGATGCTGGAAAGTTAGCCACAATGCTTAATTCAAGACGCTTTACCTCAAGGGTTTGAAATTTAAAACTTCTGATTTTTAATCTACCTAAATAATGTTCATCAAAATAACAAATAATATAAATACGAAAATCAAATATCTTAATCAAATTAAGCGAAAAAAAAAAGAATTCGAAAGCGTATTCAGGTAAAAAAAAATAATGTAATCGGTCACAATGACAAAAGTCACTATGATTTTAGCAATGGGAATAAACTGTATCAGAAGGCGCAAGCTCTTTTGATAAAATATAGTGACCGAAAATGACTGATTACCCAGTAGTAAGGGTAGCGTGCTGCGGTATTGAAGGGCCCGGATTCGAATCCCGGAGAAGGTGTATGTGTAGGTGTATTTAATTATGGCAAAGCACACGAGGGCTATCTGCCTAAGGGAAGGGAAGCCTTCGTGGAGGACTTTCTAAGGGAAACTGGCTCGTATACACGTTACACATGGTGAAAACCACGAAAACGTCCATGCAGCCAGCCCGTTCGCAGGATTCGAACCTCGGACCGAACTACCACTGTTCAGCGACTTTAACGCTCGGCCGCTGGTGGGCGAATCCCGGAGAAGAGATAGCTGTTTGTAAATGTATAGTGTCTGTGCGGTATGGGAGCCCTCTAAATATGCGGTGACCTCCAAAGTCCTCTCGTGTAGTTTGGTGGAAGGGGAGAGGGGTGGGAGATCCTCGATCTTTCCCCGAGGTGCTTTCCCTCAAAATTGGGGATAGAAAGTAGAAGTGCAACCTCTCTTTGGAGTAGGCCTGGGCAACCATTCTTTCATATAATATGGGCACGACAATAACAACAACCCAAAGTGACTAAATGCTTTAAAAAGTGCATTTCAGCTTGCAGTAATGCAACCAACATAAAAAGGCATAAAATTGCGGAGGCGTGTTTCTTTCTTCTTAACAATTTTACTCCAGAAATATTTTGAATTACACTTACATCCACTAGACATTGCTGATCCTACAGCACATAATCCTGAATATAGGCTAAAGTTGCACGAGTCGTACCATCGTTTAAGTCGTACTGTTAAATATTAGGCGTGATATCACGCCAAATTTGCATCTTAATCCTAACGAATTTAACCTTAGTCAACCATATTGTTTTACATCGTATTCGGGTCCCTGTAATATTTGTGAGGAACATTGCTAAGAGAATATGATTCAATGCCTAATATGAAATGAATGGGCATACAACTTATGCACTGGGAATTGACAAGAAAAAGAAAAAAAAAAAAAAAAAACCTTTGTGATCATTGTTGTAAGTAATTGCATAAATAAATTAATTGAAAGAAAGTTTTATTAAAATTCTCTAATTTTGAACGCAGTACGACGTAAGCTATAGGTAGTAGGATTTAGAATACTGGTTGTCTATATCGTATTACATTCGTGATTAAAATTTTATCAATTTTTACCAAGAGTGTAGACTGTATAGAATTTAATTGTTGTAAATATCAGCAACGATAACACAGGACATTATTACCACACAAAATTTTGTATAGTTTCATAGATCATACGATTTATACCTATTTTTCTTAGGGGGTACGACTTACCTAACCTTACCGATAAACTCTGCTTTTCCATACATTTTCTGAGAATAACGTTTTGCTAACGTGTTGCAAAATGCTAACCTGGAAAATGGCAAGTACTATAATTTGCTTTGTTTATGATGAACAGGATTGTTGAACTCAGGAAGAGTTGCTTACAGGAGAAACATATAGCGAGAAGTCAACCTTTCCAACATGAATGATAATTGTATAACTCGACTTAGAAACCAGCAATTTTGATTATAGAGCTTTGTGAAGTCATGTACTGGCAGTCATTTCTACACAGCATCAGACTTCTCTACAGAAATAATCAAACAGATAAATATGTATAAATTTTGATTTTATTGTTCATATGTCTTAGCTGGCAATACTAAGGAACAGTGGTTACCCTAATCTGCAATTAATTAGAACTTCTGTGTTTTGATAAATGATGTAACATCTGACGGGCATAACTGCGTAATATACTTCCTTTGAAAATGCTATTTTATTCATTTCCTAGCTAACTCGTCTGCTATTGCTAATTCACTAACATATGAATTTTCTATGTTTACTTTTTGGATTACCCAATAGAGTCCCAAGCTCTTTGGTAACATACACTATGAGAACTCTACTAAGACATAAGAGATTCATCTCTCGGAAACTACCAAAGAGACATGGGAAGGGCGTGAAGGACGTTTTTATTTGACTCAGATAACGTTTAACATAAGGCAAGTCTTGTGCTTACAGAACCAGCCATCATTTATGGATTAACTAAAATTAACTAAGTTAGCCGAAAAGGCTACACAGGGTACAAGGGTGCACATTGGCTCAAAAACCTACTGTCGGCCTGAAAATCCTGATGTTGTAAACAACACAACGCCGCAGATAAAGTGCTCTCAAGAAAATAAAAAAGCAACGTGGCCTTCAGCAGGCGGAATGTACTCTGTATCTACAGTCTAAAACCTTCCATTTTTAAAAAAAGCCTTGTTTTCCATTTGGGAGATGCACCGAGGGGGCACTAGAGTATTCTGCATTCCAGTGTCGGTCAAAGCTCAGATTTAACGTTAAATCTGATTGAAAGTAGAATCCTTCGGAATATCCTCCAGATGTTCCCCATGTCTTGGACACATCTTGTCAAAGATGCGAAAGGGATAATAAAGGGCTCAATATTCTTACACTAATCAGTTGCAAAGGTCCCTCTGCTGCCAGAGCTTAATCAAGCAAGAATACGAAAATAAAATCCTTAGGAGCCGTAATACCTTTTCAGTGGTACAGAGAAAGAGGTCCCATGAGAGATTTGGGAGACTATTAGATTCAAATTTAAGAACACACTTTACGGAGTATCTTATACTAAATGGCTCTTTTGGGTCCAGAAAGAAATTCAACGTACATGCATGCAATCATGCAATTGCAATGCAAGATGAAGAAGGGGAGAAGGCTATCAAAAGAGCATCAAAATACGATAAAGATCAATAATTCAAAGAATGTAGATTTATATTTTTGCATCCAATATTAGGAAAACATTAATAATTGGGGTGGAAAGAATGGAAAGAAATTGTTTTCTGTCATTTACATACACGACATTCATAAATATGCATCATGCCTTGCTTAAATTGATAAACTTCTTTATAACACTCTTAACATGAAAACAAAAAAATAAATAAAACACTAGTTCTATTCAAATAGAATAACTTAATAATTGTTATTCGGTAAATTAAAGGCAATACGACTACAAATTTTAACACAGTATAGCTTATAGATAAAATTTGCATATTTAAAATGTTAAAACATGACTGCAGTGTTGTTGACATGCAAGTATCATTAAGGTATTTTTGACCATATATTTGTTTTGAATAATGGTATTCTATTCTGCTATTATTATACAAGAAAAATCAAGAAAGTATATGAAGTACAAAACTGACATTTTCAGTTAAAATAGTCCAATAAGATGATAATTAAAATGTGAAGATTAGAAGTGAAATCTTGTTTCTTGTAGATATAGTTGTAAAAACTTTGCATATTGCAGTTTTATCAACTTACCTTCCAAGATGAGACCCATTGCATGCCTATAATGCGCGGCTGTGAGACTTCGACAAGCCATCAACGTTACTTGTGACCTTAGAGATGAATCGTCTGGGTCATCCCCAAGTTCCAGATAAACGACAAGTTCTGTGTTCGACGGAACGGTTCTTATGGTTTCAAAAACGGGTTCCCCTTTGACTAGGGTACCTAACAGATTGACATCATTGCTGAGGGTTGATGAGCATCTTAGGAAGCGAATCCAGTTACAGTGTCGAATTCTTCGGCAATCTACTTCTTGGATTTCATCGTAGCAGCCAAACCGGTGTCTCACCTAAAAAAAAAACGAATTTTTATATATAAAAAGTGTCTTTTGCAAAGATAAGACAAACTAAAACAACCATCGCAAAATATTCCATCCACTAGTTATCTATTTGAAGAGTTATTTTTCTTTCGTGGTAAATGTCCATGCTATCAATCATAATGGGCAGCAGGTCAAGACTTCACTTGGGAAAGAAATATCATCAAGCCAAAAAAAGAAACAAGCATGCTTCAGGCATTCCTTATCAGTTTAGAGAAAGTGAGATAGCTCGAGTACAAAAACCATTAAACCTAATCTAATAAACTATTTATTTATCTTTTTTATTAAATTTGAAGCTAGGTTTTATTTAGCAGCAACGATTACGTAACTTCCCATGCACACTTTTTGTTTCTTTTGTTATAAGTATCTTTCCTACTAATGCCAAGTTCGTGTTTGTTTTCCTTTTTCGCTCATAAAGAAATCTGTTGTATATGTGCAATAGATGTTGTTATGATACTTTTCGATTAATAAATTTGTACATATTTTTGAAAACAAATCCTCTTATCCATAATAATTGTAACAAAAAGTTCTGTTTACAATTGCATTTTAATTCTGTTATCTGTGGCACTCTGTTAATAAAAGTAAAAGTTTTTTTTTTTTTTTTCATTTTTCTTATATTTAGCAACATCTATACAACCGTTAATTGATTTTAGCAAGATGATTCATACGTCTCGCAACGGAACTTAATATATGAAATATGAATGTTTTTCAATATGGCATTCACGAGTTCTTAAAAATGCTAATGCATGTGTGCAGCTAAAAAAAATAAAACATTCAATGTATTTTTCTCGATTCTTTCTGATATTTCGGAAAGACTTATTTCCCTCAAATTTAACGCCCGTATTTTAAATCGTCGAAAACGTGACTTCTTTCTCTATCAGTAGTAATACATCGGTTAAATACTGTACGAATATACGTAACAGAAATCCATCGTAATAGTCGTTAATTATAGTTCTAACTTTGTCTGAGTATATATATTTGAAGAATTAAGTAAAATATGTTATTTATAATTATTGTATGTTAAATATGTTTTTTGTAATGATAAAGCTCGCCACTTACTGTCTGTTTAAATGTAATAGCTTCATGGAAGACTCTCTAAGGAAAACAGGCTTATATTCTCGTTACACACTGTAGAATCATTAGGTTATTTTGAAGCAAGAGTACATGAAAAATGAGCAATGCCTCGCGGGGACTCGAACACGGTCTTCCCTAATACACGCCAAGTGTGCTACCACTACATCACGAAGGCATGCAGAAAGAAGCGAGAAAATACCTTATATACGCCTCCTTTTAAAGGGCGATTTGAGATTAGGGGCCCCAGTGGCCAAATCCTGGTGGTGAAGAATCATTATCCACCACCTTTTATTTCGGGCGCCATTGTAAACTATTTTGAAGCAGGAGTACATGAAAAATGAGCAGTGCCCTCACCGGGACTCGAACCCGGAACTTCTCAAATACGCGCCGAGTGTGCTACCGTTACACCACGAAGGCATACAGAAAGGAGGGAGAAAATACTTTTTATCACAAAGGAGAAAGCGAATTTTGCTTTCAGTTGCCAATTATTAATTGTTATTTGCAGCCAGTCAGCAAAATTCAAGTTTGTGTTTGATAGGATTACGCGACTTGAGAGAAATTAGCAAAATTTCTAGCTGATGGATCATTTTTGCACAGTCTTTGATAAAGAAGTAGCAATGATACTGTAATCGATGATTTTTACTGGTATTTAGGCATACATAGAAGTCTTAACTAAAAATCGTATATCTAATCGACTGTAATCAGTTTGATTAAATAACAGACGATTATCAGAGAAGTTGGTTGAAAAGGTTGATCAGTAAAGTCAAGAATTAAAGCAATATCCACAACTCAAGAAGCATGGAAGGCCTTGTACAAGAATATAAAAGTGTCTTTAGAATATTTTATAGAAATAATAAGACCTCCTTAAAGAGATTTTGGGCAAGTTTTAACGCAGCCTTAAATGATCTATCCTTCCTTATATTATCAAAGAAATGACTGGAAAGAAAATTCCGAATTCATGGATTAATTCAGGGTTTCTTAAACTGTGGGTTGCGACCCTCAAGGGGGTCGTGTGACCTGCAACAGGGGGTGGCAAAAAGTTTAGCAGTTTTAATATTTCTTTAACTTATTATAATAATTTTAGAATTAACGAATATTTTTACATAATTTATCTGAAAATAGATAACGACAAGACAATGCAAACAAAGAAAGAAACGAAAACGTTTTGACGCATTCTTTTTATGATATAAACGTTCATTTTACTTGCTTTGCACGTGATGCTGTCACTTCGTGTGTTACTTATTTAAAATTTTCACATTGTACTATGTCTTAAAATTAGAAAATAATGTTAATGACCTAAAACTGTAATAGTATATTACAGTACAAGTAAAAAAATCTGATGTGTACACCACATGATTTCCTTGTACGAAATATTAAATTATACTCATTTTTTCTTGATTTTCATTTAAACTTATTGGAATGAATTAAATCTATTTCGCCGACAGTGCATAAACCACAATAGAATAAATGCATTCTTAAAAATTCACTCTATCTGCTTACCACAGCGACACTCTGACGCTAGGTTCACTTAACAGTATTATATTTCGTTCATATTATAACTCAGAATGCACAAAATGTACACCATTTAAAGAATAGAATTATCTAATCGTTGCCACATGTTCTATTCAAATACTATAATAAAGCTACGATGTATAAAAGAAATTAAGCAAACAAAACAAAAAAGAAACAGTTTTCACAGACGATTGAGTATTTCTCATTTAATTAATTCAGTTCTCACTTCGCGAGAAGGCAAAAATACATAAAACTCAAAATATCTATATTAAAAATTACGAAGTAAATCTGAAACACTTATTTCCTCGAAAAAATTCCAGAAAGGATTAAGCATGATTTATTGGCAATAATAAATGAAGGCGTTATCTTTATTGTTGCAAAGCTAAGTTTCTCTAGATTGGCAACAAATCCACTAGTCTGCTGTTTCAAATGTAAACAATCAATGGCCGCCATTAAAAAGGCTTAGCGGGAATTAAACAACTTTAAAATTGTTGATAATTCTAAAAATATTGCATGATTTACTAAAGGCATAAGAACCTTAATCGGAAGATAAAAACAACATAATTCAATCATTTTTAAAGCAAAAAATGTACAATTTACAAACATATCAGAGTGAAGAAACTGAGATCACTGAGCCGGGTAACAGAGTGGATATATATATAAATATATTTATATACGTTTGGCGCAACCCATTGCAACCAAAATACGAGGTGCACATCTACATGTTATAATAGTCCTATATACAAAATTTCAACGTTCTGAGGCTACTCGTTTTTGAGTTAAGCGAGATACGTACGTACGTACATACGTTCGTACAGACGCCAGGAAAAATTCTCTTCAGAATTCATTTTAAAGCAGTTTTATAATTTTTTTTGGAGGATAAGAGTCTTTTATCTGTTCTTACGTACAGATATCACGCAAAAACATCGTTAAATTGCTTTCGATAGCGGTCAAAATGGATATTTTCGTTGAAATATGCTGCCTGAAACTTTTCGCGATTAAAATACTCTCTTTTTACTTCGTACAAGGAAGTAAAAATGGACAGTTTCGCTCACGCGCGTCTCGGATTTGCGCACAACTTATGGAGTCCCACAAACTGTTTGTAAATTTTATGGGGTCCTGGCGTTCGCAAAAAAATTTCAGTGATAAAAAGGGGTCGCGACTGAAAAAAGTTTAAGAAACCTTGGATTAATTAATGCAATTCTAAAGTGTTTGGTTACCTACAAAAATGTTATTCAGTTAATGTGACGGATTAAGATGGAAAATAATTTAAAACCTTTAAGCATCGTTTACGTACATTATTCGCTCTTTATCAAAAGCAAAGGGATAGTAACCTGTACATAGTTTTCATATGTATCTCTAAATATCCTCTTTCATGAAACAAGAATTCCACTTTATGGCTTTGTAGGAAATAACATTTCAAATCTCCTGAAAAGAAAGGGGGAAACAAGGTGGTTGAGAACAGCCTGAGCTACTTTTGTGGCATTTCAGAACTCACGACCTAGACACTGGCCCGCTAGTTTTCTTTTGAGGTTGCTGTTCAATATCACCTTTTCTTATTTGCTTTTTATTTGAAGTCGTATTTTTTCTTAATAATGCAATTACATTTCCCGAGGCTTGGATTCTATTTACCGATGAAAAGATCTTGAATGCTGTCACGATGATCGAGTGTTTAAAGTAAATAAGACTACAATGCCTATTTTATAAAGGAAGCATGTTCTTTTATAAAGGTCTGGAAAATAAACACTTGCTTGCTTAATATGTTGTTGTTCCCGATGGAAGAAACATTTATTTTTCTTCAAAATGCTCACATGAAAATGATATTTGCCTTACATTGATGCCTAATACATAAAAAATCATTTATAAAATCTAGCTTACTTAACCCTCTCTAGCTTACATTAAATGATGTACACTTATTTACTTTTATCTCAAGATATGGCATTTAGGTTAACCAATTATTATTCTTGTTGATTACATTATTTACATAAATTCGGATGTACCTTTTTTCTTCTTCATTGGCTGTACAGCCCAGGGTGGATCCTGGTGTTCTCCAGGCATCTAAGATAGAGCAGATATTTTCTAGTTTTTGAACTTTAAAACATTTAGCGGTTTTCAACACGATAGAACCTCGGACATTCGAAACCTCGAAATTCTCCGAATCTTTAAAAAGATTTGTGATTCGACAATTTGGAACTTCGATTTTTTTTCTTCAGTCGAGTATTTCGAATTCTACTTCTCATATCGTCTAACGATTAACTCAAAATTTTGGAAAGATTAGTTTTACTAACGTCCAAGAAGAAACAAGAAAAAAAAGTCTGATATGTACAGCACATGACTTCCTTGTACGGAATATTAAATTATACGCATTTTTTTCTTGAATTTCGTTT